TCAGTTGTGGGGCTTGAACTCAGGGCCTACAAAAAAAAAGTCATTTTTTTCTCCCTTTGAGAAATATGTTTTAAATTTTATTTTATTTTTTCCTTTCTCAGGAATTAAAGATCTCATTTTGCTGTGTGGCCGGATTTTCTTACTGCTTGCACTTCTAACTTTAATTATTTCCGTGACGACCTCATTGCTTAATTCATTTAAATCTTCCCAAGTTGATCTGAGAGGTAAGTTCATTATTTATGCTACTCTTTCAGCTCTTCTATTCAAATTTCATTTTGTTTTTTAACCAGCAATTTTGCATTTTAAGAACTGTTTTACCATTGATTTGTGATGTGTAATTTCAAGAGGGAGTAGTCAGTGCAACTTCAGTCATGATTATTTTGAATGGACTATTCGTTTATAGAAACAGCATATTTTTCTCGTATGTCCTTTTTTTGTTTTTCTAAGAAATATTTAGTGAGCACTCACCATGTGCTGCATCACACACCTGCTGACTGATTCTGTGAAAGTCATAAATTGGACAGATGTAACCAGGGGGAAGGAGTTTTGGGGTAAGAGGCAGGGAGAAGGGGAATGGCTTTCTGTGCTGAGACCTCATTATGGGAAAGAACCAGGATTCATAGACAGTGTTCCTGGTGGAGGGAAGAGGAGTGCAAAGGTTTCTCTTGTATGTACTTTTTTGTTGTTGTTGTTGGTCATGGGGCTTGAACTCTGGGCCTGGGCATTGTCCCTCAGCTCTTCAGCTCAAGGCTAGCACCCTACCACTTGAGCCACAACACCACTTCGGTTTTTTCTGTTTTTATGCGGTGCTAAAGAATCAAACCCAGGGGGCTGAGAAGTTGGCTCAGTGGTAGAGTGCTTGCCTCACATGCATGAGGCCCTGGGTTTGATTCCTCAGGACCTATACATAAGCAGAAAAAAGCTGGAAGTGGTGCTGTGGCTTAAGTGGTAGAGCACTAGCCTTGAGCTGAAGAGCTGAGGGACAGCACCCAGGACTGACAAAAAAAAAAAAAGAATCAAACCCAGGGTCTCATGCATGCTAGGCAAGAATTCTACCACTTTCCCGGCCTATCTTGTATGTAGTTTTGGAGTTATCATTTCTAAGTTGTTACATTGTAGATTTCCTAATTTTAAACTGTACATCTGTGTCACTTAACTGCTTATATACTTGTGCCAGTACTGGGGTTTGAACTCAGCTTAGGTGTGCTGTACCTTACCATGTGTGTGTTTTGTGTGTGTGTGTGTGTGTGTGTGTGCACGTGCGCGTTCGTGTGTATGTGCATGCATGCGCTGGTCCTGGGCACGGTCCCTGGGATCCCTTTGCTCAAGACTAGCACTCTATTGCTTGAGCCACAGTGCTACTTCCAGCTTTTTCTGTGATTAATTGGAGATAAGAGTCTCAAGGACTTTCTTTCCCAGGCTGGTTTTGAACCATGATCCTCAGATCTCTGCTTTCTGAGTAGCTAAAATTACAGGTGTGAGCCACTGGTGCCTGCCTATAATCTGGTTTTTTAAAGGTGTTTGCCTTCCAAACTGTTCAACTCTACAGACTGTTTTAAGAGAAAATGTCCCTGTTTTTCTGATATTTGGTAATTAGAAGCTTTTTTTTTTTTTTAATGTGTTCAATTCTTAGAAGAAGAGAAGAAGGAGGAAGAAGAGAACGAACTAAGACAAAGACAAAGACTTGTAAGAAAAAGGCAACAAGAGGCACAGGGTGAAAAGGTAAGGCGCGCGCACGCACACACACACACACACACACACACATTTTTTTTTGTCAGTTGTGGGGCTTGAACTCTGGACCTGGGCGCTATCCCTTAGCTCTTCAGCTCAAGGCAAGTGCTCTACCACTTGAGCCACAGCACCATTTCCAGGTTTCTGGTGTTAATTGGAGATAACAGTTTCATGGACTTTCCTGCCTGGGTTGGCTTTGAACAGCAATCCTCAGATCTCAGTCTCCTGAGTAGCTAGAATTATAGAGTAGCTAGGATTATAGGCATGAGCCACTGGTGCCTGTCTAAAAATAGTCTTATTAAGTAGTTGTACAAAGGGGTTTTAATTCCAGAAGTCAAGTTATAAGTACAATGCTTCTTGATTAATGTTAAACCTCCCCTATCCCTACCCTCAAGTTACCAGGTTCAATTTTTACTCATTGTACAATGAATATAATGATTGCATTTGCCTATACTTCCTCTCTCCTTTCATGTGTTCCTGGCTTTTTGCTCTTCCATATACTTTGTTACCATTACGGTTCTGTATAATCAATACTTTTCCAAATAAGTTCTTGCTGTAGGACCCAGTAACAGGAGAAAAGCATGGTTTTTTTTTGTTTTTTTTTTGGGGGGGGGTCCAGTCGTGGGCCTGAACTCTGGGCCTGGGCGCTGTCCCTCAGCTCTTCAGCTCAAGGCTAGCAGTCTACCACTTGAGCCACAGTGCCACTTCTGGCTTTTTTTT